GGTAGCATAATTTTGCCCCAAATTCCCATGAATTGGGGAGTGGGGAAGAGGAACATCTTCTTCGTGGTTCGGTGCGACCGGTGGAGATGATGTAGCAGTTGTTGATGGAATAGCTGGGGAAGAAGGAGAAAAAGCTGATGGCGATGAAGGACAAGAAGCAGCCGCGTCAAATGCAGTGCTAGTTGTTGGATGCTTGCCAACCGAAGAGGGCAAGGACCCAGTAGTCAACCCAGCAGTACCGTGAACAACATCTGGGCCCAGAAACGGGAGTTGGCATTTTCTACCAAATCAAACTCCCCCCAAAGTGCCGAGACATCATCCTCGGTTGGTGTAACTAACTCAACAGATTGAGAATTCTGTTGAGTTGATGAGGATCGTCGCCTTCTTTGTAGAGAAGCTCCATCTTCACTAGCTTCTCCATCGTCGTCAATCATCATGGCGTCTATGACCGGCCCAGGAGGAGGGCTAGTCATCATAACTTTCGGAGATGACTCGGGGACAATAGTCTTCACCCTCTTATTCTTTACCCTGGCCGTGGAAGAACGCCTTCTTTTTGGTTGCTTGTTCTCCGGCAGGGGACTTCATAACAAAACACTTGTACTCGAAGCAGGCCTGGAGATACTTTTTCGAGTGAGCACCTCCTGAAGCAGCCTCGCCGCATCAGCAGGGTCAGCCAAAACATCCTCCTTGGGGACGACAACTGAGCCCACAGGTAGACCTGTTTCTAGAAAAGATAGAAGGGATCAATCAATTTTCCTTACGTAAAAGGCTGAAACAAGGTGAGTCCAAGTTACCATGATTTTTGGCCTTCCACCCCTATTTGAGGGTCAGTTCTTTCCACGTACGGGTTTCGGGCGTAGTGACGTCCAAGATTTTCTGGACCCACTGGTCCAAGCCTTCAACCATAGGTGGAACCCATCGAGTTGTTAAAACGATCGAAGGATGAAGGATCAATACAGATATGGAAGAATCCTTGATAAAAGGAATATGAAATATTAAACAAGGAACTTACGAGTGCGGTTCTATGATACCGGATGAAGCCACTGCCAGAATGATATTATTGGTGGCAACTACAACGAGCCATTCCATCCACCCATGGTCATTGTCATCATGCTAGATAATAAAGCATGATGGCCGCGTTTACTGAAGTTTATCATTCCCCCGTGAAAGATTTGGGGGAATAGAGATTCATCACATGAGCTAAAGATAGCTCCTCTCCCGTTTCTTGGCGCAAGCGCCGAAGACATGCAATCATCCTCCAAACAGAAGGACTTACTTGTGCCAAACATACTTGCTAGCGCAGGTAAAACTCCGCAATAATGAAGTCAAGCTCTCCGCCCAAAAAGAGCGCACCCAAAGTAAAGGGATACGTGTAAATATACGTCAAACCCTCCCTGGGTGGGGTTACTCGCTCCGTTAGATCAGGAGCAACAATATCCAAATTGGGACAGCGACAATCTTCCTTCACAACAGAAATATTGGAAGGATGGATGGAAGAAGAGTATCTACCAACAGCTCACGTGCGAGGGAGAGCTGAAGGGAATTTCTCTTGAAGTCTTTTAATGTAACAAGACTTCTAGGAATGATAGAGTCCACCGTTGGAGGAGCAGCGTCCTCGACTTTGTTTTTGTTCTTTGAAGAACTAGTATTTTTTGAAGATGAAGCCATTGTATGTTATGAAAGAAGGGAAAGCTTTCTCGTTTGAAGAGAGTTGCAGAAAGGTTGAGTAATAGCAAGAAAGATTTTAGAAAGTTTGGAAAATTATAAAGTATAAAGGGAGAAGGTTGATGCGTATAAGCAAAAATTTTAGCGGCTAAATTCATGGCCATGATTACCTCGATAACCGGCAAAAGTTATGCTGAATCGTGGGATAACGCGTGTTCGGGGCATTAAATACGGAGAGACATGCGTCTAATCAACCTTTAGAAGCCTTCAGAAGGAATCATAGTAATTCCCACCAAAAGAGTGTTTCTACCAACTTTCCGGTAAAACAAAGCGATGTCACCGGAAAGCAGGGGGACTATCTATATAGGGTAAAATATGTTATGCCAGGTGGCCGCTTAAAAGAATGACACGTGGAACCGAGGGCAATTATCCCTTTTGATACCGGAAAGAATGACACTCATAAGGATGCAATAATTACTCTTCGCCTGGTAGCATTCAATGGAGAATATTCCACAGCATTAAGTATGTTGCCCGTTACAAGGAATTTGACATTTATGTTCACTGTTACATTTTCATCAATGGCCCTCATAATTGGCACTAAAAGGCACGATCCTAGGACTTCTTTCCCTAGACCTAGCTATAAATAGTAAGCTCTGTTATCATTGTAAAAAGAGGAATTTTCTGGCAAACTAAGACTACAATCTAGAAAAAGCTCTATACAATTTTATCTTCTTATTTTCTGTCCTTATTATTGTTCTTATCACTGTTGCGCCCGAAGGCTTCATTACCAGAATCTTATTTCTGTTATTTCTTCTTCCTACCAAGGCTAAGTGTTATATATTTCTTCAATCATCTTATTATTTCAGGATCAAATTAATTCATTTGTCTAGAAACCACGTATAAATTCAACTGTACTGTTTTTCGGATAAACAATTTTCACCCATTTCTACTTGGTACAAACAATTTTCACCCATTTCTACTTGGTACAAAAACAGAAGACGTGAAGATGTCTTGTTATTCATTAGTCTTTTTATGACAAGAATAACATATAGCCTACATTTAGAGCACTTGTATATGTGGTCTAAGGTCAGCAGCATATTTTATATATGCTACCATGTTGAAGTTGGAAACTCTAGCTATCAATTGGAAAGCTGTGAGATTTTTAAAGTTTCAAAATCAGAATCTCTTCTAATAAAATATCAAAACAACTTTAGTAAAAAAACAAATTTTATTGGTTTACCCATCATGTGAAACCTGGATAGTATCCCACTTCATCAAATACCAACAAAATAATGTACAGAAAATTGTGCATATTTTACATTATAAATCTAGATAACTGTCAGTGAGCACCACTATTCCCACCACCCTTTCCAAACCCCCAAAGTAAGTCTCTCTTACTTTGCTACACAGAAGTATGTCAATTGCTATACCAAGAATTTTTCTTGCTCTACTGCTTTTGATGTTTATTACAAAAAATTCAGGTAAAACTCCAATTTATTTGCATTCAGAAGATTAAGTTTTAGATTTAGTATCCTTTGATAGTCTCATTTTGTTTTTCTTAAGTTGAGGGTCTATCGGCCAAGTTGTCTTCGTGTGACCTATAGGTCACAGGTTCGAGCAGTGGAATTAGCCACTGATGCTTGCGTCAGGGTAGGCTGCCTACATTACACCCCCTTTGGGTGCAGCCCTTCGGCCAATCCTACGTGAACGCGGGATGCTTTGTGCACCGGGCTGCCCTAAACTGAGGGTCTATCGGAAACAACCTCTCTACCTCACATAAGGTAGAGGTAAAGTTTGCGTACACTCTACCCTCCCTAGACCCCACATGTAGTGTCACACCGGGTATGTTATTGTTTGTTATTGTTCATAGTCTCATTTTATTTTTCCTTTTTCTCTTTCAATGTATGAAAATAGTGAATGGGCAGCTAGAAGAATGGTGTATAGCAGATGAGCAAACACCAGATAATGAGTTGCAGGTGGCATTAGATTGGGCATGTGGAAAAGGGGGTGCAGATTGTAGCAAGATTCAAAAGGACAAAGTTTGCTATTACCCAAACACTGTAAAAGACCATGCTTCTTATGCCTTTAATAATTACTTTCAGAAGTATAAGAAGAAAGGTGGAAGTTGTTTCTTCAATAATGCTGCCATGATTACTCAAGTTGATCCTAGTAAGTATCTTAGTCCTTATTCTGTTTTCATTCCTTTTCTGCAAAGGTATAAAATATGCATAGCATCTTTTGTTGAGTTATCTCTATAATTTAAGAACAATATATCTCAGAGGTATTGTTAGTTCAGTATCCAAATGCATCAATGACATCTAGAATAAAGTGAAAAAACAAAGTAAAAGGAAAAACCTATCTTGTGTCCAAAGGAATGTCTAGGTCATGCTATCACATGAAAGCATATCCAAAAGAAGAAGAGTCCGAATCTTAGTAGCTCAGTTGGTTTGCTATTTGAGCTTTCACCTTGGGTTCGACTCTGCACTTTCTAATCCCCTACCCCTATGAAGAGGAGCCTTGACGTAACTGGTAAAGTTGCTGCCATGTGACCAGGAGGTCATGGGTTTGAGCCGTGGAAACACTCTCTTGCAGAAATGCAAGATAAGGCTGCATACAATAGACCCTTGTGTAGTCGGACCCTTCCCCGGATCCCGTGCATAGAGCGAGCTTAGGGCACCGGGCTGCCTTTTTAACAAAAAAAAAAAAAAAAAAGAAGACTCCAACCATGTTAAAGTATAAAGAGAAAAAGAGAACATGAGCCCATGTGAAACCCTTTAAGCTAAGCCCAGCATGGATCTGCATCATCTTATATACTATCATGTGCTATTAGGAAACTTTACTTTTATTAGTAATTGCTTTTTCTTTCTCTTTTTTTTTTTTTCTCAACTAATTCTATTCTTGGTATACAAACACATCAGCTAACTTTTGCTCCACATTTTGTTTGGTTACAGGTTATAATTCTTGCCACTACGAGTACATGCCCTAGTGCTTATTGCTTTTCAATCTCTTAATCATTTAAGCCAAGAAAGATAGTCCAGGACATTAAACAACTGACTATATTCTGGATTTGAGTATTTAGAATTCAATGTGTTGTAGCCTTTGCTACTGAAAGTTTGAGATATCAGCTGCTTGTCATGCAATAGTGACATGCATTAATTTATCTTTATTTTGTGCTTCTTTACTCATACAATGCAATTTCAGCTTGTCCTTGTAAACAAATTAAAATTCATATGAAAAAAATAAGAGCTAAATGAACTCAATTGTCATACCTCGGCTTAATTGACCAGGGTGACTCCACTTGCTATACAGATAAAACTCAGGCTCATGCACCATTGTAAATCAATATCAAAGCTCAAATTTATTGTTAACTTCGTATTCAAATCAATTTTGGCGCTTAATACCAACATACATGAGGAGCGAATAGTCTATATGAAGCATACGGTATATAGAACTTAACATCTCTTTTACAAATTCAAGAACTGTCAAATGATGCTTACAGGAAATTTCCACCAGTTTCATTCCTATTTACCGAAAGTGAAACAGGGAAGTGTCACGAGCAAGTCTGATTCACCAAGCACTCATTAAATCTGCAGCATCAATCAAGTTTAGCAACTTCAAGTTCGATGTGGTAAGTCCGGACATTCATTCTCCTAAAACAATAAACTTGCCCAAGCAGCAATAAATGCAAAGCCACCGAAGGGAGCTAAGGTTGAGTATTTCCTGTCTTCCAGAAGTGCAACTGCATAGCACCTGCAGACCAACCAGCATTTTAGTTTTGACCACCAAATGTTGAAAGTTTGTTTAAGATCACATATGATCTAAATACCTCATTCACAAGTAAATACATACTACAATATTTCAACATTCAAGTACCAAAACAATAAATCTCATGAATAAAAATGGTGGATATGATCATTCAGGCATCATCAGTAGACCATGAACATTATGTTTTCATGTACATTTCTACAAACCAAGTATTGCTAATTAACAGCAAACACCAAAGGGTGCCAATTATGAGAGATCATTCAATAAACTACTCCTTAAATTCCAAACTAGTTGTGTTTGCTATTAGATGGGAGACAGAAAAATAGAACAAAAACGAACTAATTATAGAAATATCTCCCTCTATCTATAAGGTTCTAATTATTGGATGTCTCTTTGTATGTGTTGTACTCAAGGAGGATGACTCAATGATTATTCGTTCGTCGGAACCAAAAGTAAAAATTAATCCTTTGTATTCATTCTGCTCTATTCGGGCAGAGTTCGTTCTGAAACTAAATAATTTTTCTTTTAAAACAAATTTTCTTTGAAACTAGAAATCTCTAAACCTCACACTTATCATACACGGGCATACAGTCTCTATCCTAAATAAGAAGATTCTAACTAAGATAATTATACTCTATCATTCCGTCTTCTATGACATTATTGTTACCATTTAGAGAGTCATATAAGCTTTCCTTTGACAAAGATTTGCTTAAACATTTTCAGAATACTTTAAAATTTTTAAAACTATGATCTATTATATTTCTTACTATATAGTTTTGAATTTTTTTCTTAAAACTCCATACTTTGTCCGAATTTAACCAGAGATTGGACAATTTGACTTTCATATGCCAAACCACCCTTCATTTGGTTAGGCGAGAGTACTTCAATTTGCATAACACTGCAAATTTCAGGGTGAATTTATTTAACTAGACCTCCACTCTATTTAGTGTCAATCATCTTACAAATTTAGGGGAGCCTTGGCGTAACTAGTAAAGTTCTCGTCATGTGACCAAGAGATCACGGATTCGAGCTGTAGAAACGGCCTCTTGTAGAAATGCAGGGTAAGGCTGCATACAATAGACCCTTGTGGTCCGTTCCTTCTCCGGAACCCGCGCATAGCGGGAGCTTAGTGCACCCGGCTGCTATCGTACAAATTCACATATTGATTTGTTCACAGAGACTCTCACCCAGATAAAACCTAGAAAGATCCTTTTGGCATTCATATTATAGAAGTTGGACAATGTGACAAAATCAAACCACTGAACTAGAAGTACTTACGTTCCAGAGAAAGCGATAATTCCACCAGTTAGCAATCCTCCAAACTACAACCAAAAAAGGAAAGAGAGAAAAAAACCAGATTATATCCATCACCCAGCAAAGTTGAAGGCTTTAAATAGGTCACAAAGATAAATATGCAGTTAAGGAACTCACAATGTTTGGATGTTTAGTGATAGGAGCAGAAACAAGGGCAGCAGTGTGAACCAAATGGTACAGTGATGCAGTATGCCACACCTTTAATTACCAATTGCAACAAAATAATCCAAAAATTAAAACTTTTTTTTTTCTGATTACTCTTACCCTACACTAAATGATGGAAAAGAGAATTTTCATCTAAAAAAATTGAGAAAAAAGAGTAAAAAGAAAACAAGAACCTCTTTGTAAGTGGGATTTTTGGGCTTGAAGACATGAGCTCCATAAGTTCCTAACCCAAGAGCAGCTACACCTGTTTTCCAAAGTTAAAGATTCTTTAAACCCAGAAAGGATTTTTCAATAACAAATGGAAAACAGAAGAAATTGACATGGTGGAGTATCCAAAAAGAAGTAAATTACCAGAAATAGCAGCCACTTTGTGCCAGATTTGAGGATTCATTTTTGGTTTTTCTTTGTCACACCAACTGGTTTTGATCTTCTCAAGTTTGGTCGTCGTAGCATAAAGTCGTTGGGTCTATTGATTCCTTAATTCACATATCACAAGCCCCATTTTTACGAAGGTGTAAACCTTTACAGTGTACTATCAGCAGTAAAATAAACCTATTTGACTATTTTCTAAATAAGTAATTGTTTTGTGCCGAAATTTTAAGCCAAAAATTTTAACTTCGTACAATTCAAGATATTTTTGTTCCGAAAATTTAAACCAAAAAATTAAAATTCAAATTGCGTTGACTAATTGTTAAAGTGGCTATCTAGTGTCATTTCTACCATTAGATATTTCGAGTTGGGTTATAGGGGAATTTTTTTTTTGTTGGGAAATATTCGTAAAAATAGCACGGTATAGTCAGTTTTCGGACTGGTCAATCAAAAATAGCCAGCATTTACCAAGTCAATGAAAAATAGCCACTATTTTGCTGCAATAGAGACCGGTCCAGCATAATATACTGGAGTTCGGTGCACTTGTGTATGAACTCCAGCATATTATGCTGGACCGGTATACTTTGCCGGCTCCAATATAATATACTGGAGACTGGAGCACCGGTGCTCCAAACTCCAGTATATTATACTGGACCAATATACTTGCTGGAACTTCAGTAAATTATGCTGGAGTTCTAGTGTACTTATGCTGGAACTCCATCATATTATGCTGGAGTTCCAGCATACTTATTCTGGAACTCCACTATAATATGCTGGAGTTCAAGTATATTATGCTGGAACTCCAGCATAATATATTGGAGTATTTTCCGGGTTTTGAACAGTGTTTTCGCTCAGATTTATCTTTATATAAAAAGTAGCTAAATTTCGATTACTTTTGAAATTGGGCTATTTTTGAATGACCAATTGTAAATCTGGCTATTTTTAAAATTTACCCGAAATATTCTCCTATTTGGAGCATTGAACTCTGGGCCCATTCGTAACTTGATGGCAAAGTAGAGGGTATTTGTTCAAAAGGAGATTTTGTTTATGGTTACAAGTTACTCCATCCGGTCCACAATAAGTGACCAATTTATCTTTTTTATTTTGGTCCAAAATAAGAGTCCATTCATATATTCAAGAAAAAATTCAACTTATTTTTTCAAAATTACCCTTATGTACGTATCCTTAAAAGGTCTTTTACTCCTCACATTAAATTATGCGGTGACATTTAATTAAAGGTAGTTTAGTCACACTAACTATTTTTGTCTAGAATTTAGTATTTCCTTAATAGGTATGCCCAAGACAAATTGATCACTATTGTGGACCGGATGGAGTAATATTTTGTTTTTCTTTAAAATCCTTTGTCAATCCTTTATCGCATTCCTCATTTTGGCCTAAGCTTGTGTGGTTCCATTTTCAAAATACTCCAGTTATTAAATGGTATAAATCATGTAAAAAATAAAAATAGAAGTAATGCGTTATCCTTCCTTTTCTTTAGTTTTTTCTTAGACAAAAATAAGCATTGGCCTTTTATGGTTTTAAGAACGTATATTTTACCTCCTTGTACATAGGGTATGAGCTTCTTTTGTAGTTTTAGAAACATGCTTTTGCCCCATAAACCAATCACAAGGCATATGTGGTTGGGAGGAAATATTAGTTGCCACTAAAGAGAAACCATGTAAGGATAGCATTGAAATTTAAACTATAGCAGTTGGGTATTTCAAGGAAATGACTGACTTATAACACTGCAGTTCCTGAGAGGTAGCACATCAAGCAAATGCATCAACAATATGTTCCTCTAGTAACTAAAATAGGACATAATAAACAGCTACAGTAGAAGAAGAATTACCATTACATGTCGATAATCAGACCTACAGCCCACCTAAAACAATGGAGGCATGTGTTAAGGATCGCTTGGATCCTGCGAGCTATCTAATATTTTGAGAATCACTCTTCGCTGTGTTTACATCTATACATTTAGAATCCCGATACTGTTAGAATGATTAATGAAAAGGACCAATGATCTTTATTTTCTCTTTCCCTTGGCCTTTCCTTCACTTATACTTCCATTACAGCCCGAAGATGCTCACCTGGTCAGAGAAATTTTCCATTATGGTTGGTTCTTCACAAGTCTGAACTTCCTTCACAGATTGAGGAAGCTCAGTGGAAAGCCTGAACAGGTTTTCTGGTTCATTTGAGATATCTTGAATCTGCAAACCACATCTAGTGCTGTGGAGCTCGTCAGAAACACCAGAGTAGTACTCTGGTTGTCTAAGCTTTTCTTCAATCAGCATTTTGGTTTCAACCTGAGATGTCTCATTTAGATCAAATCTCACTGAGCTTTCAGCTTCACGAGGTATTTCCTCCTCCTCGTCATTTACTCGCTGAAGCAAATCGTCTGGAGTTGCAGCAGGGTCAAGATCCCAGCACCCCTCAGGCAAGTTCATTCCTTCACCTTTCAGTAAGCAAGATGGAACCTGATGTGAAAATCGTAACATCTCTCTTCTTCGAATCAATCGAATGGCATCCTTGTTTGTGTTTCTACGATATACTGTCTTGAACCCATCTAATTTAATCAAAGGAGTAACACAGACACCAAGCTCTTCGGAATAATCATCAAGAACCTCAACCATTTCATACTGGTGCCTTACTTCAGCTGGTGTGGTTCTGTCCCAATCCGGTGACCAATTTCGGTATACAGCCCAAACGTCTCCACTTTTTGGGTAAATTCTAACACAACCACCCCTTCCAGCTTTCTCCCTACTTAGCAGGTGAGAAAATATGTTCACATGCTCAATGATCTCAGCGTTAAAGGCCCTAAAATTTCCACACGACTTGGTAAAACCAGAATCCAACCAATTTACCAGCCCAAATTCGCTATCTGATTTCGAACTCAAGTAGCTGATATGAACTTTGAATGGCTTCACCGAGATGATTTCGCGGATCAAACAATACAAGCGAGGCATACCATCTTCCTCGTCATATAAAGCCCATATCTGCTTAGGTTTGAAGCAATCCTCTGATCTATCCTTGTCAAAATCATGGAAGTCAGAATCTGGGACTATTATTGTCATTGACCCAGTTTTTCTCAGTTCTGACTGATGAACAGCATTTTCCTGTGCGATCATTTTAGGTCTTTCACTTGATTCACCAAACTCAGCATCCGCCTTTCTCTTCTTCTGGGCCTCTGCAACAGCAGCTTCTGAAGCCAACTTGATTTCTTCCAGTTTCTTGCGGATTTCTGCTCTTGCCTTGTCAATTAGTAACCGTCTTGCATCAAATGCAGGAGCAGCTGAAAATCTTCTTATTGAAACTTCAGCGGGAGTAGGAAGCTTAGCATTTTGTTTCAAATTCCCGCACCCATTTCCGTCAGTCATTTTAACTTCTCCAGCAATTTTTGCAGCCACTTCACCATTACTATAGCCACATGTACCTTCAAGATCAATTTTTATCTTCTTAGCAGGTCTACCAGGCCTGCGGGGTATTTGTTCATTGCACACAGAATACCCGTTAAGAACCACGTTGCTCACCACCTTTTTCATATCTTGCTTCCCCCTGCCTCTTCTTCTGGTGATTTTCCTACCTGCCTGGTTCGAAAAACTGACAGCTGTGGATCCATTGGGATCTAAAACAGCAGCGGAATTTCCAGGGCTGGAGCTCCATTGAAAGGACAAATTAGAGACATGCTCAGAACCATGTCCAGAATGATGTCCTGAGACACCATTATTTGCAGGATAAACAGATGTTGTTGGGACATATGTAACCCCGCAACCATGGCTTCCATATCCATTAGACCAAGAGCTATAGGGATAGGAACCATTAACTGGGGCCAAACCTGTTTCCACAGCTATGAAAACACCACGGCAATTCTTACAGGACAGTCTTTTGTTCAGGTACTTCCTAAGATATTCATACTGAACGTGACAAGAGGTACAGACCGTCCAAAATGTATCAAGCCTGTTATGAGAAGCTGAAGAATTGGAGTAACTGTCATAGCTTCCAACACCAGAGGCATGCAGAGTAAACAAACTTCTCCTGTGATCGTAAGAGCTTCTTTTGGCACCATCGGACAACACCGTCCATGCTTCAGAAACAAGTCTAAATGCAACATCAGCTCCAACACTTTTGTTCTTATCCGGATGGAGCAACACAGCCATCTTCTTATACTGTTTCTTCAGCTTAGACTTGTCTGCAGTGGGATCTAAACCCAGTATTGCATAGAAATCAAATTCTCCATTAACCTTCGTCTCTGCAGCACTATGCACTCCAAATGTTGCTACCATTTGCGATATTCCTTCCAAATGGGGGTACATCATCTGAGCTTTTAAAGCATAATGTTTTGCACCCACAAAGTCTTTCTCCACAAATCTCCTTTCAGCGTTTGCTTTAGCTTTTAGTGCTTCCTCCATGTTCGGTTCCATCTAAAAAGCAAGAATTTCAGCTCAATTTCCCCACGAAATTTCTAGAAGCTCACAGAATTTTACAACCGAAATCCATTTCGGGGAAAAAACATGCTTACAGGGCCTGCAATTAAACAAGAAGTACTTTAATATACAATTCATTATTTCTACCTTTAAAAATGATCCACTAATCGGCCTTTAACAGTACTCAACATTTCAGTAAATATCCTAAATTTAAAAGAATGACTCACAAAACCAACAAATCTTAACCCATCCATTATATGGGCAAATGCAAATCCAGGCTATGAACATTATAGGTTCGAGTTCAGAATTCTACCACAGCCCATTTGATTTACTGAGTCCAAACTCTATTACTTATTTAGTGGATCTTTTTAACACATATACACAGGGTTCGAGCAAAGGCAAATGCAGCATATTAACACTGGGTTTATCTATACCCAGTACTTTGAGCACGGGGTATAAATTTGTGTTAAAATTCACTAAAATTGCAACAAATAGTAGGTCTAAACTCATAATTTTAAAAATATACTCCCTCCGTTCCAATTTATGTGAACCTATTTCCTTTTTGGTTCGTTCCAAAAAGAACGCCCCTTTCTAAATTTGGAAATAATTTAGCTTAAACTTACAATTCTACCCCTAATGAGAAGCTTTTATAACCACACAAATACTCTGGGCCCCTTTTTGATTTGTTTAGGACCACAAATTCCAAAAGTCTTCATTTTT